GGGGGGCTGGTTGTTCATGCAAGTGCCAGCCCAACGAAGAGGCTTGCGTTGAAAACTGATATCGGTGGGGACGCTCACCGTCGTACCTGCTACACTTTGAACTATTGGTCACGCTGTGACTCTACTTCACTATAAAGGGCTAATGCACTCTGCAAACATGAGCGGTCGCCGTCGGCTCGCCCTGTCGCCGCTTCCTTTTCTCAGCGTTTTTTGTGAAAATTGAATGGTTCGTCAAAAATTCTCGGAAAAATTGGAAGCTTCGGCCTCATACGGTCATTTACGTTTGTCGTATCGAGTTTCCGACAGGACGTGCGCAATGGGAAGAAGGGTTACCGCTTTATGTAATAAGCAGAATTTTTGCAATATTGAAACATATAATCTAAAAATGGAGAATATAGAATTGAATTGATAGAATATGTTTGTTTTGAGATTCTATAACCTAAACAGTAGTAAAGATTTTTTGAATATATTCAGGTGGATTAATGTAATTGAAATAGATTAGTTTTTTATGTTAGTAATTTGATTGGGATTGGTTATCAGCCTAAAGGTGTTGAAAAGGTTTGTTTTTGAATATATATTTTAAAATGACGAATTAGTAGTTTGTTTGAAAAATATAGTTGAAGATGATTTAATATTGATATTCTTATGTTATTATTGTTATCGTTATTATATATTTCTAATGTTAGTTATATATTGTTTCTATTCTTCCCGAGTGCGTAACGAAGGGTTTTCATTTAATTCTGGGGGTAGAATTTTATTCGCGACCTATTATTGTTATATTCGTAATCGTCCGTAGTAGAGCGTTAAGGCGTTGCTATTGGGGGAAATTTTTGGTGAGGGTTTCGAATGAAAATGTAAAGCACTAGATTCGTGGGGAATAATAAGGTATCGTGGGGGAATATAAGATGTTGAAAATATGGAGGATGATTTTATTATATAGGTGCGGTATTTTGTGAAAACCGTAGTTTGTTGCGTAGTTTTATTGGGATTAATATTTCGAATTGGTTTTTGTTACTTATCGTAATCATTGGATAGAACCTACGTGATCGCTTATTAGCTTTATAGAAGATATGTTCATCGGATTTATGATCTTCTGTCTATTTATCTTGGTCTTATAGTTCGTTATCTTCGGCGATGTGGATGAATTGGCGGGATTTTATCGTCTTTGGAAGCCTTGGTTTAGCTCGTCGGATTGTAGGTTGGTGGATATGTTTGTAATTTTGTCCGAGGATTATGGATATGGATTTTTCGATGTTGTTGAGGCATATGTCGGTGCCGGTCTATATATAGATTATTTGTTCTTGATCTTTGCTTAAGCCAGCTTTTTTTAATAATAGCTAACTAACGACCTGGTTAGGGAGAGTAATTTTGTACTTTTGAAGTTCTCGAAGGGATTGCTGGTGCTCGGTGCAAAATTTAAGGAGCGACTGCCTAACTCTATGTTATATCTTGTAGAAGTACTTCTCGAAGGAGTCGGATATCTCCCTACGATTATTATATTGCCATTGGAAATCTAGCCTCTGCAAAGGGCTTTTGAAGCCATCGTCCTTCTCTAGGATATTTAAATCTAGGTCTTCGCATTGGCGCTAGCATGTACTTTCCAAGATCGACAGGATAATCAATCCTATTTCATTGGTTTTTTGTTGGATCGCCCGGCGGCGGGCGAACAACTGCTTTTGGGATATGAAGGAGCACAATTTGTGTCCTTGCTTAGCAAATGCAACAGGTTTGCCAGGGGTGCCGCAAATGCTTCACTGATGCGGTGCAGGTCCGCAATGTAGTCATGGTTAATCTCCTCTGGAATGTCTCCAAAGGAAGTGCCATGGAGTGCGCTTTCTGCCACCCTCCGCTAGAGGCATGTCCGGACTAGTCGGTTAATTTGCTTGTTGGAGATGCATAGCCTCGCCATTGGCCATTCACGAGGAAGGTCGCTGTATAGCTGTAGCGAGGGTGGTGCCATTCCTTTCGTGTTAGTGTCGGCAGCTGCATGGACGGCTAATTGGAGTGCATGTAGCGCCTGCATGGCTCTCTGCTCTGCTTCTAACTGTATATCGGTGGCAGCAGTGCTTCCTCTTTCTACATTCTTTTGGTCATTGTCGAGGTCAATTTCTGTCATGGCTTGGGGGTGTTTCTGTGCCTCTTCCGGCTGCTCGGATGGCGAGGCTGGGTCCTTATTGACTGGGGATTTTTGCATTTGATCAGTAGGATCCTTTTATGCCACTCTCGGTAGCCGGTCATCGTGTTGTCGAATCGTGGGATCTAGCTTCATTTATCTTTTCCAAGGATGCTCTTATCGACCGGTCCATTGGCCTGCGAGCTTTATATGGCGGCGGGCGGATCCGGAATTGTTTTTTTTGGCAGCTCCGCTATCAATATAAAAATATAGAAAACAAGAAAGGGAGAAGAATCGAGTTCACCGTCGATGCGGAACGCTTTAGCTTTCCGTGTAAATGTGTCGGGTCCTTTTCTCTTAAGAGCATAAACGAATAACCACCTCAAGTGGTCCAAGCGAGCTTAAACAGCGGCGAACGGAAATATAAATATAAATGTAATCGTCCTTATATAATAGCGATTTTCTTCTATTGCTTCAAATTAACAATAATTTTAATAGAATTATATAAAATTTGCCGATTTAATATATTATTCATTATAAAATTATTTATATAATATATTATCATATAATTTATTAATAACGACCGAAAAATCATTCGTTTAATAAATTATCTATAATTCATTCATAAATATATATTATATCAATCCAAAACACTCCTAATATGCTAAATATTTCATTATTCTATAATATATATTTTTTAAAAAATAAATAAAGCATAAAATTCCCATCAAAATATGTTTTTAACCTTAATCGAATTATTAAATTTTCCCTTATTAAAATATAAAAAATAAGAATAAATATTATATTCCAATCCACGAATATTATATAATAATACACGAATATCGCGACGACCAATCCAAACATATCGAAAAATAATTTCTATAAAACAATTCCCTTCCTTTTCGCAACAAATATTCCTTCCTTTTCCTTCCTCCTCTTTCGTTCCTATTCCGATCGACGTCCGAGTAGTATAAACCTTAAAATCAATTCAATTAAGAAAAAATAATATATATTCAAAAATCAATCAATATATCAATTATTAAATTCAAAAAAATCTATATATATGTCGCAAGCCAAATTCAAAAGTATCCCCTGAAAAGCTACCTATCGTAATGATATCTAGAATATTTAATATGTTTAATATGGTTTTAATAATTCTTCATTTGGCGAGGCTTCCAACCTGGCAAATTGCATTCTTATACCAGAATACAATGAAAAATATTCAAGACACCCCAGGCCAAGCCCTTGGCATGTTGCCGGTGTAGGCATACCGTCCCACATGGGTCATTGTGGTCTTCAAAAGTATTTGCAGCACAAGCAAATTCTTAAAAATTCAATTCTATTGCTCTCGAAGGCATTGCATTGACATTTCAGCATGTGATATATCGTGTTCGTTTTCCAACGCTATTACAAACACACCTCGATAAGGCTGGGCATATCAAACTCAGGAAAGGACTCCCAGGTCAGCCCAAATAGTTCCTCCAATGTTCCGCCAACGGCGGCAAAAGGCGATGTCCTGTCAGATCCAAGCATAAATGGTATATCAAAGAAATATTGGTTGATCATTTGTTATATTTTGGGTGGGGTATGTCCGGCCTCACCGAGGAATTCGCCACCCTCAACAGCTGTGTCAAAGAATCTCCACCAAACATCATAGCCTAAGTGGCAATCTCATTCACCCGTGCATCTTCAAACCCGTTCTCTGGCCTCCCTGGTGATATTATCGTCTAAGACATTGTGTAAAGCAAAAAGTCATTAAACGCTATATAATCACACTTACGCGGAGAGAAACGATTGCAAACATCTTCATCAGAATTGTCCTACTAGGAACAAGAAGCTATTAGGAGCAAGGGCATCGCTCCTAGTAACAAACGGCATTCTTACTATATACTAGGAACAAAAGGACGCTACTAGTTGATGTAGTTCATACTTTGCCCACCGCAACTTGGTTCTCGTTCCTTCCCAATCCTGGGGTGGCCAAACGTTGCGCCCGTCCAGCGTGAGAGCCAGTGATGCGACAGTGCATATCGGGATATGCCTCGCAGGAATCACTGAGATGTTCAGGTTCAGGAGAGTAAGTGTTGACGTCGCTTCGGCAAACTTGACTGACTTTGGAAAATCGCGCTTCTTGCCTGGATGAGCTTGTGAAAGACCTGGCGTTTGATGAGCATGCAGCCAGTCGGCCCAGCATCCACCTCTGCATTGTGACAATGGACAGCCGTAACGCTATATCAGCGAGCCACAAACGCTCTTATGAGCATCCTTATATCCACAAGCGAGCACTCTGCCTCAATCAGAGATGAGCCCTGCTCCAATGCAGCCTGCACCTAGATGATGTCTCTTCTGCGGAAAAAAGGGAACGAAAGGGTAGTAAGTCTCAGAACCGCAGCATGTTTAGAATCAGTTTAGCTGGTCGCTGCAACAAAAAATCTGGAAGCGCTGAGGAACACACCTGCTGTGGCTGCGCATGCAGAACATAGTGGAGCCCATCTCTGAGCCTTGCGTCTGGCCGAGCTGGAGGTGATTTGCCAGGTGGCAGGTGGTACATATCCAGAAGTCTTAGCTCTCCAGTGCCACCACCAGATGCCATTTGCCCCCGCCTGGCACTGCCACCTCGTCGAGCTGCGGTCTCAAGCATCCTGCGAGCTGGCGATCCAACAAGTCGCTAGCGGCATGAAAAGGACACAGGACTCTCTCCAAGCACTCTTGGAAATCGAACCTGTCTTCGTTGAGGCTCTTCGCTGGATACGGAGCCAGGATCACATCTTTATCTGGCACTCAAAGGGTGTCAGACGGTGTCAGAGCAAAACTTATCTGATCCCCATCCACTGACTGAACCACTTGTGATTCGTGATATATATATATATATATATGTACGTATAATATTATTATAATATATATATATAGGCCTACTTGCATCAGTTCCTATCAGGATCACATAACTGCCTTAACGCTGCACAAGTACTTTCCTGTGTGACAATATCCTCGACCGCCACCCCGCACTGCGAGGTTGGCATGAACAAGTGGGGCTTTCGTGTACACTTGGGAGAAGACGGTGTGAAAACTTTGCAACGCTTGACTGTCTTGTTCAGCCCTGAAGCTTTGAGAACGTGATTGGCATGGCGTTTCTGAAACCTCCACAACCCCCGTCTCTGAAGCCCATGCCGGCGGCCACTGCCTGCTCCAAGCATCTTTCGGATGGTGTCTACTGTGAAGGCAACATCCGCATCCAGGAAAAGTAAATGAGTACAATCCTCGCTCCACAGCAAATGGCTGACAAAGACTGTTCGGTTCCCACACCCGCTCCTTGAAGTATGCATTGATACAGAATGCTATGTGTGAATTTCCGAAACCAGTGCACTTGCTATCAGCTCTTTCATCTATCACGTTACCTTGATGATGGTGCGAGCTCAAAGCGAAGAAACAACACACAGGGGCAAAAACTCTCCTCTTGGGCCTACATGGTGCATTAAAGCTAGGCCCCTGGCAGTACCTAGAAATTCCATGACGGCCTCAGGAAGCTGACACTTGGCTGATTTCCCCACCATCTCTTGCAGAAATGCTTCCTGATGTCAAGGCTTGCCCAACTCCGCAAAGTCTAAGGTCCGAGCATTGTTCCTGCCGACTGTAATGATGGACCTTACACGGTGAGTGGCAGAAAACCGTTGGCCGACCATAGTCCTGCACACTGGGCTCGCTGCTGCCCAGCGACTAGAGAGAGCTGCCAGGCAACCTGACAGCTTCAAGAGCTCAAACATTTTGAGGTAAAAGAACACGATGAATATGACACAGCTACCAAGCAGCACAGGCATCCAAAAAACCATCGGATCAGTACCTTTTCTGGAAAACCATTATGCAGCTTTCATGTCTGCCGTGTGCAGTGACTGAAAGCAAACCGGCTTCAGCCCGGTGACTGGAGAGCAAGAACCTATGCTGGGAGTACGCCTGCTGGAGGTTTTGCCGGGCGCTTTAGCCATGGCTAAGCGTGTTCAAAAGCACCAAAGGGCTCACCCCCCTCACTTTAGCCATGGCCCATTCCTCCACCGGTTCCGGGGGGCCACCTCCTTCAGCTGTGTGACCATGTGGATCACTGAGGTCATGTAATCCACCGTCACCTGACCACCGTAGGCCGGCGTGGCGATGTAGACCTGATGCGGCCAGCGTCTGGGTTCGCAGAATAGGTTCGTTGTGCTGCTTGTGAAGAAACCACTCCGTGGTTGCCGAATTTGTTGGCCGAATCTCGTCTTCCAGCCTTGAGTCCATCTGGCAGCTCTTTTCCTCAAAGAAAGATTGGCTAAAACGACCTAAAGCCTGGAAGGGCAGTGCTGAAAGTCACTTGCAGTGACTCCCGTTGAGTTGGTACAGTCGGTACAAAAAGAAAGACTGATAGAAGCTCTTTACACCCCACAAACCACCTAAGGTTTCACGTATTTTCACGTATTGCCGACACCATGCTGACAGGACATCTAAAAATAGTTTGATTGTCGTCACTATGGAGCACTTGAGCGGCTGTGGGTGCAGGTTCTGTGGAAGGATGGCAAGGCGGTCATTGAAGGATGCTGCCAGTGTCTTTTTCTGTGGTCTGTGCTGAACAAGGCCGCAGTGCTCCCTTGGCAGCTAGGTACCAAGGGTCTCGGTACTGGAGCTTACTTGGACTTGAGAAGCCATATTTCTTGACCAAAGGGATTGGAAATTGGAAGGGTTTATATAATTAAGTCCAGGGACGTCAAGGCTCCGCAAGGGAAGCAATATTGTTTGCCCCGATCCCAAAGAAGTGTATGAGCTTTTGGACGGAACCCAAATGACAAGTGTTCTGCTTTGGTGTCCACGTTCACTTGCTTTGAACAATTAGTTCAATTACAGTAACAAATTACAAACGTGGACTCGTGAAGAAAACGGACAACTTGCAAGAAAACGTGAAACTAGACTTGCAAAACTCTTCCTTTTTCTCAGCAGGTGGTCGTGGGGTGGGACGGTGGTGATGCGGTGATGCGATGATGGATTTGCTGGTGGATGTGGTGGCAGTGTTGCGGAAGTGATTCCGCAGTTGCTTCTATAGGCCAAGCAGTCGTTCGCATGTCACGCACGCAAAGAGGATGGCCTTTTCAATCCAGACTTCATGCTGCGTTGCTTCAGCAATCGTTTGCATGGCCTCCGCTTGAGGGATGACACGCACAAATCGGAAGTGCACCAATCCCAGCGCCGATTGAGAGCATTCGATTTGTCAAATTGACAATGGCATATGACACGACATCCGACCGTGGCTCAAGTGCGGAAGAAGCACCTCTCGCGTGCTGCTTTCGACGGTCGCGGGAAGGGCGGAACAGGTTCAACTAAATCACATTTTGGTCATGTTGTTCCTTTTCACGCTTTGTTTAAGCATAAAAATCTGAGTTTTCATGAGTGTTGGTGGTGGTGGCGGCGGCAGTGCTTTCCTTGCACCTACCATAATGCAAACCAGGAGAGGTAGTCTTCATTCATTGTTTCACTCAGACTTTGGTGGTGGTGTCTTTGTATGTATGCACATTGTGATGATGCTTTGCAAATATCCCCCAGTAGTACTTATTAGTATGCGCTACCACAACACAGTGGACCAGGGGGGTTTGATCTGGGGGGCCTCCTCTCTGTGATGATCCAGTGAATCCAGTGTCAATAAATTCTTGCTAAAGCAAAGTGCCATTTAGAACTCTTGGCCACACGAGCCCCCGACCAGTATATGGCCCTCGCACTTCTGGTGGGTAGTAGATGGGCACCTGGACTTTACAAGCACAAGCAGCCGCAACTGCGCTGCAAAAAACAAATCGATTCATCTCTCTTTGTCAACTCGGCCATCTTTTACCATCTTTTACCAACCCTCGCAAAGCTCTGGTTTTGAGCCCCCCCGCCGTCTTGGGCTCGGGTACACTTGGTGCCACTGGAGAAGTTCTGAGACAAGAGTGCTTTGCGTTGCTCGAGTTGCTTCATGCAGCCACCCACCTAGCTGCAGTTGGTTGAGATGTTGGCCTTGGACAAAGGCAGTGTGAGCTTCCCTATGCAATTTCTCATAAGTTCTCTTCGTGGTCTGTCTGTCTTTGTGTGAAAAAGAAGACTGTTCACTAAACACACCTCTGTGCAAAAAGAACACCCAGTGCATCAGGTTGGATTAGTTTTCGGATATCATCGCAGGCATAAATAACGTTCAACCTTGTGGTGAACTCGTTTGTTTGAACTAGAGCCTGCAAATATTTGTCGGCCAAGTTGAGCCAGTGGCCAACAACATTGAGCCTCTGCATCCGGTGGCTGAGCTCAGCGCTGATTCCCTGGTCGCTGCCCCCTCAGGGTTTCCGGTCACCAACTAGAATGGTGAACGCAATACCACAGACTGATCAAACTTAGCTGCACAGAAGGTTTATCGGTTCATGCAGCTCTCGCGTCACATCGAACTCCAGCCGATGACTAGCACATTCTCTCATCTTTATATCACCTTATTTACGAATGCAACAAGCCAAACTTGGCATCCTACAACATCAAATATGTGCGAATCAAGCATTTTGACTGCGTCTGAATTTCAGCTCTCCAATCTTTGTGATTGACAGAACACTTTCGAGTGGCAGGGTTTCTGAGTCCCCTCGCGGCGCTGGAAGCCCTGCGGCTGCCCGGGCAGCTGCACGCTGTGCCAAGGTCTGAAGTTTGCTCGCTGCTTTAAGTCCGGAAGTGTCTTTAATTTGAGCGCCAACAGCATGGCAAGTTGTTGGCTGTTGTTCGCTTTAAGTCCTTTCGTTACACTCCGGAAATCAACCCCGGGCAGCTCAGTCTTCCGGACCTGGGCACGCTCTGAGTCAGGCCGCTTGAGTCGGGCCACTGCCCGTCGCCAAACCTGACACTGTAAGGTTTGGACATTCGGGTGAAACACTTGGAACTTTCACAAGGTGCATCGCTACTAGTAACAAGAAGCTACTAGTAACAGTAACAAGGTGCCCACTCTCTGCCTCTAACTCGTCAGGCACATCACTTCGACCTGTGATTCTGCATGAATCCAAGAATTACGCCGACATGAGAGGCTCGCACGACAAACAAAACAGGCTAAATAGGTCTTCATGAGTTCAGTTAAGACCCCATCCTTGTGCTCCACTGGCACGTCGACTGTGCACCCCAAGAAAACCACCTGAGTACCATCACATATCACACGTGTCTGTTCACTTTCCAATCACAATTCAATGCTCCTTTGAAAATTGGGCAACGACCAAGCAGCAGTGCCTTTGAGATGGCCTTCAGGAGATGTGCGGCAATCAGCTTCCGTAATCACTGTTTTTAACCATCCAGGATGAAGTCTACTTTGCCCATCCGCCTTCCGGGAAGATTCATTCAACACCAATGAGCTTCTGCCCCTGACAGATTCTGGCTATGTTGGCAAACTCTTCAGAATCTTAGCCACCCAATAAAAAAGGACGAGAAAGTATCGTCAGCTCCTTGAGCTTGACGTTGGCACCCAACAGGGCAGGCAAGCAAAGTTGCCTCGAGCATCTCAAGTCGATCAGAAATTGCAAGCAGGCATAGCTTAGAAAGAACATGCTGCATGCTCTAAACCACCATGTCAGCATGTTAGTTGTGTATTCAGCCTCAAAGTGAGCAACTCTGGCAAGATCATTTGCTTCAAGAAAGCAATCTATGGAATAGTTGGTCTATGTCACGATTGCAGTGAATTGCACGAATGGATCGCACGTGCACCCTGGTGCTTCGCAATGTTCATCGAAGCTGCAGTTCCGCCAGGGCACATGCCGGGGTAGCATGCTATGCAAGAAGCTGCGACTTCACATTGCTTTATGAAAGAAGGCACACAAATGAAGACAAAAGCAGTGTGAATGTGTGACCCAAGGAGTCCAAATGGTTTCAGATCAATGAGGAGGTGTGAACTGGCACGTTAGCTTGAACTGAACATTCGCTGCAGATCTGTCTTCACCGACCAGTTGATTTCTCCTGGGTTGCACAGCTGGCCAGCATGTCTTGCCTTGAACAGGGAGTCCCTGTTACACATGCTCTGGAAGCCCCATGTCCAGGATCAGGATCTGCAATGGTACTCAAGCCGACTCAAGCCTACACACATCTGCCATTAAGTGGGCATCGCAAAGCTGCAAAGTCATGTCAGATACATCATGCCATTAAAAGGTCTTGCATCACAACAGCGGAGACTGAAAACGTGGATGGCATCCAGATTCTTATTAACCGCGCAAGTTTGATGGGCGACTGAGCTTGGGAAAAAGTATGCAGTAAATCAATGGCAAAATTGGAAGGACAACTTTGGCCCATGAAAGGACAATCAAAGCGATTCCAGCAAGATCGCATGCGTCTAGCCAGCAAGCACTAGATCTGCCGAATCCGCCTCTGCTTCTTTGTGGACACATTCTCTTGCAGCATATTCAAGAGGTCAAGCTTGTAGTTCTGCTCTTCTATCTTCAAGTCCAGAAACGAATGCCCTAACTCAAGCGCCGAATTCACCCTTGCGCTGCCTTCTGACGGAAAATCCAACCACTTCCCACCACCCAAGTCCACTTGCCAAACGCCTTTGGCGTGGAGAACTTGGACCTGTGCAGGGAAGATCATAGCGTACCCTGTTCTTCAACAACATTCCATATTAGTTTTGTAGAACCTCAATCCGAAACTATGAGTTTTAAGGTTTTGGTTTGTCAAGCTATGGTTTTTCAATAAACATAGCTTAAAGAACCTTGGAACCTCAATTTGCCTATTGAAAAAGCATACCGGATGTTGCACCTGAGTGAAGGGATCCCAAGTGACGCTCGCAGGTGTGCCACCAGAGATCTCCAGCTTCACTTTGAAGGCAGAACCAAAGCGAATAGTACCCTCTAAAAGTTTCCCACGGTTTTTGCCAATGGTCCAGTCTTTACCTGCGTTTTTGTTGTCAGGTCCCAAGATCGAGTGGGGTAGACTAGGATTCGCATCCTTCATGTCTGGGTACAAGACTCTTTCCCAACTGCCACCTTCCAAAATCTGGAAGCTCTCCCATCCAGTCTGTCCAATGGAAACAACGTACACAAAATGAAAGCCATCCCAAGTCATCTTTCGGGGCTTCCAAGCACTAAAGGTTCCTGCAATCGAAAAGGACCGCGCAGGTCCATCCATGCAAGCAAGTCCATCTCTCACAACTACTGCATCTTTGATTGTTTGATGAAAATGCTGATCAGCGAGGATAGCGCGATGCTCGACTCCGGGTAGATACGACAGCTCACACTCAAAAAGACCAGCCTTCGCCCACTGTCGGCAGCGATCCAAACTGGACAAAGGAACGACTCCGTCACCACTCAAGCCATTAGGGGTAGCATGAACAACACCACCCTGTACGCTGAATTCAGTTGAGTCTTTCAGTGTGGCCTGATCGTCCAAAATCAGTCGGGTTAAAATCTTGGACTCCTTTAATCGAATTGTGTGCACACGCAACGCGTATGCAACTTCAGTTGGTATGTTTACTCCATGAATAGCTCGCACCTTCTGAATGGGTGGCCGGGAATCACCTGTGTCATCATATAATGGGTCATCTCCATAATACTGCGCCCAGGTGTTCAAAATCTCTTCACATCGTTCTATCCTCAAAAGCTCTCGAGCACCAAGAGGTTCGTAAACTGCTGTCTTGTCGTTCTTGCAATTAAAGTGGTGTGTTGCTGTTCCACGGCCTTTCCAGAGCTTTTCAGATCCAGTCCAAGTCTTTTTCATGTTTTCAAAATTCAGCCAGCGCAGGCGAAACTTGACACAATCCCCAGAGTCAGCAGCTTTGCCATATCCAAGCGCAGAAAGTGGACCAGTGGCCAACTTGGTGATGCGCAGTTGTACTTCGACGAATCCTTCGGCATCGACCTTGGATCCCAGGAGGGAAGCCAAAGCAACTTCCTCGGTGTGAGCTCTCGGCACTCCGAGACCTTTCCTCCCCATCGCCGCCTCCTCTACCAACATAACACCTGCAGCTAAACCCTGACCCATGCGAGAAAACCAACTGTCTTTCTCATCATTCTTCATGCCCTTTTCCTTCACAATGGCCTTGATCGTGGCATTGCCGGGCATCTCCTGAGCACTTTCGATCAATCAACACAAGCTAAAGTTTGCCCTTGGACTAAACTAGTATATACTCCGCCCTGCTCCACTCTTCAACCAGCTCCTCAGGGCCTGCGAACTGCATGAAGTTGCTGGCCTCGTCGAAAAATGCTGAATGGCCATCGAAGGAGCTGGCGCTCTTCGTGGTCAAGTTGCCCTTGTCAGCACCCCAGTCAACCTATTGCAGGAACCACTCAAATATCACTCACATGTAAGCACCAACTGTTCAATCAGCGAAGCCATTCAAACGCTATGCATCAAGCCTCCAAAGCGATCATGACCTTGTTGTGCATTGAAGATATGCCGCAGTTCGGAACTGCGGCACTTATTTGCTTGATCTCCAAAACCCCTCCTCAGCACGTAGGCTCCAAACATGTTGCAAGGAAAGTTTCTGTTGCCGGGCAGCCTTCAACATGCTGCAGTGCAAGGAGATACTCTAGTAAGTAAGTAAGTAAGTAAGCAAGCAAGCAAGTAAGTATATTAAATAAGTAGGTTAGGTAAGGTAAGGTAAGGTAAGGTCAGGTCAGGTCAGGTCAGGTCAGGTCAGGTCAGGTCAGGTCAGGT